TGCACGGCCTTGGTGGAGCCCCACGGCAGGATCATGGGGCTGGACCTGCCCGACGGCGGCCACCTCACCCACGGCTTCATGACGGAGAAGAAGAAGATCTCGGCCACCTCCGTCTTCTTCGAGTCCATGCCCTACAAGGTGTGGAGAACCGCTGCGGCTGTGCGGGGAGGTGCTCACCAGAAGTGCTGGAGCCTCTTGAGAGTAACGGGGTCCAAGCAGGGTGGTTAAACGAGCCTTGTCCCCATGGCGAGGTGAGCTGGGAGGTTAGGAGGAGGTGGATGAGGCGGTAGGAGCTGCAGGTCCCTTCTCACCGCTTTCTCCCAGCTCTGTTTGCTTTTACTTGTACCGGCACCCCCTCCCGCGGGGCGGCCCTGGGACTGATCCTGCCCCATTCCCAGGTGGCTGAACCCTCCTCATCCCCCAGGTCAACCCCACGACCGGCTACATCGACTACGACCGGCTGGAGGAGAACGCCCGCTTGTTCCACCCCAAGCTCATCATAGCAGGTGAGGGGCAAACCTGCCCAGCCTTCCCGCTCCCGGGTTCCTCGCCATCCCCAGGCCAGCAGCTCCCGCGGCCTCGTGCCTAGAGCGGCCCCCGGGGCCACCCGCTGTCCCCAGGCTTCAGCTGCTACTCGCGCAACCTGGACTACACGCGCATGCGGCGCATCGCCGACGCCAACGGCGCCCTCCTCATGGCCGACATGGCCCATATCAGCGGGCTGGTGGCAGCCGGCGTGGCGCCCTCGCCCTTCGAGCACTGCGACGTCGTCACCACCACCACGCACAAGACGCTGCGGGGCTGCAGGGCCGGCATGATCTTCTACCGCAAAGGTGCCCGCGCCGCCGGGGAGAAACGGGGGGCTGGGAAGGGCAGAGCGGCCTCCCGGGACATCTGGGACTTTTCCAGGGTCTGGGGGGCGGCTGTGGTGCAGATGGGAGGCAGAATCACCCCTGTGATTCTGCGGATTCCCTGCCGGGAAGGACGCGGGTGGTTGTAGGGTGGCGGGAGGTCGCGCTGCCCCGTGGGTGACGCTGCCCTCCCGTCCCGCAGGCACCCGCAGCGTGGACCCCAAGACGGGCAAGGAGACGCTCTACAACCTGGAGAGCCTCATCAACCAGGCCGTGTTCCCGGGGCTGCAGGGCGGCCCGCACAACCACGCCATCGCAGGTCGGCCTCGCGACCGAGGGCTGCGGGCAAATCACAGCCCCGTGGGGCCAGCAGCGCCCCGCGTGTCCCCCTCGCAGGCTTCGCCGTGGCGCTGCGGCAGGCCATGACACCCGAGTTCAAGGCCTACCAGCAGCAGGTGGTCGCCAACTGCCAGGCGCTCTCGGCGGCGCTCGTGGAGCTGGGCTACAACATCGTCACGGGTAAGGACAGCCCTAAGGGACGGGGGCTCTGCTGGGGCCGCTCCCGAGGACACCCCCAAACTGCTGCTGCTCAACAAACCTGCTAAGAAATTCCCCTTCCCCTGCGGCAGGAGCCCGTGGGAGCTTTCCTCGCTGGCGCGTGGAGCCGCGTTTCCAAATTCCTCTCTTTTGCAGGGGGCTCCGACAACCACCTGATCCTCCTGGACCTGCGGAACAAGGGCACGGACGGCGGGCGGGCCGAGCGGGTGCTGGAGCTCTGCTCCATCGCCTGCAACAAGAACACTTGTCCCGGTGAGAGAGCCCACGAGCTGGTGATCCCAATCCCTTATGCTCCTGGCATCTCCGGGGGGACGCACGGGCAGCCTTTGGAGGTGCCAGGAGCCAGGCTGGGTCACCTTGTGCCACAATTGCGGTCCCCACCCCGGTGACAAGCGGCTCGTTTGGGTGCAGGTGACATCAGCGCCCTGCGCCCCAGCGGCCTGCGCTTCGGCACGCCGGCTCTGACATCCCGGGGGTTCCGGCAGGACGATTTCCGCCGAGTGGCTGCTTTCATCCACAGAGGGGAGGCCGGAGCGGGCGCGAGGCCGGTGCGCGGTACCGGGCCGGCCCGCTGAGCCGCCGCTCTCCCGTCCCGGCAGGCATCGAGCTGACGCTGCGCGTGCAGAGCGACATGAGCCCCAAGGCCACGCTCAGGGAATTCAAGGAGAAACTGCAGGAGGAGGGATACCAGGCGGACCTCGCGGCGCTCAAGGAGGAGGTGGAGGCCTTCGCGGGAACCTTCCCGCTCCCGGGGCTGCCCGTGCTGTAACGGGGGGCAGAGCCGGCCCCCGCGGGGACGGCGGCTCCTTCCCAGCCCCTGCAGTAGGTGCTGCCCTGGGGCCCTCCCCTCCCTGCTCCGGTTTCTTCCAGCTGCCCATCCTAGTGCAGCTCCTACCTCTCCCCTCACATTAGGGGCGCAGGATCTGTCCCCCCAGGGGGGAACCGCCAGCCCTTTCACCACTCACCCTTTCACATGGGATGATGCAAACGGAGCAGGTTCCCCCTCACCTTGTGGCCACGCTGGGGGTTGATCCAGCTCCCCAGCCATGTGGGCACCCCCCGTGTGGCACAGACACCCACAGGGGCACCGAGGTGCCCGGGGGCCACATGCGCTGGCCCAGGTGGCTTTTGCTGCCTTCAAAGCCACATAGGGCCTGTCCTCACGGAAGGCTCCACCACGGGGCTCCCCGGGATTCCTGCCCTGCGACATCACCCGCAGGGTTCCCAGTGCTCATCCCGCATCCCAGCCCTCCCCAGGGATCCCTCCTCTGAACCCATCAGTATTAGCTCCCCATCTCTGGTCTCTCTCCAAAGCACAGTGCTTAGGTAGAACCATTTTTTAATAAGCACAGTCAAATTAAGAATTTAACCACACTGTATGACAAGAAGTATCAGCTTAAAAAATACAACCACTTTTTTTTTTTTTTTTGTATTTCAAAAATATCTGAACCCAAATAAATAATTTTTTTAAAAGTACATTTCTCAGCCTCGTCGTTTGGTGTTCACAGCTCCGCGGCGCGGTGACGCGCGCAGCCCCACGCGAGGACACGCTTCATGGCCACCTTCCCCATGGCCCTCGCTCTAGCTACGGCCGCCAGCGTTCCGCACACACGGGCACGCGCACGGAACTCCACATGCAGGAATAAGATACAGTGCTTTAGATAAGAGGAGGATCCCTCGCGGGCTCCTCGCAGCCCCTGGAGGCAGCTCTTTGCCCAGTCCCGCCGGGGATGCCAGCGGGACGGGGGACCCTGTGTTCCTGCCTCCAGCGCAGCTCTTGTCCCCGAGATGTCACTGGGTGCCAAGTCCCGGCTCGCCCGGAGCTATCGGGTACCATCTCCTGCTCTAGGACATCGTGTCCTGGGGCACGGCACGGAGCAGGCGCCTTCCCTCAGCGCCTCTCCGGCTCCCTGTGTTTCCGATCGCACCTGGTTGCAGGTGCCTTTGCAAAGTGCTGTTCCAAACCCTGTGTCCCGTATGTTACCTGCCGCAGCGCCGCGGGATCAGGGCCATCTCCGCTCATCCCAGTGCTGAATGGAAACCAAAAACAGGCTTGGAGCGACGGAGCCATCAGCCCTGCTTGGTTTTTGCTTCCCCCAACTTCTCCCACCGCTCACAAAATGGGTAATATTGCTAGAGTCTAGGCAGTACTTCCCTAGTGAAGGCGTGACAGCTTCGGAGCTGTGCAGAAGTGATTGCTGCTGGATGAAAGTAGAAATCTGAGCACTATTCTCTGAGAAACGAAAGCTGCGGAGGGTTAATATCACCTACTCCTATGGCTGACCATCCTCGCAGCTGCAGCGGGAGGCTGTTTATCCCAGAGCAGGAGCTAGGGGACATCTCCAAACACGGGGAACTAGAGGAAAAACGGAGCGCAGCCCCCATGGACGGCAGGCGGCTGCAGGAGACCTCGGCTCTGCGGAATGCAGGAGCCCCAAGCAGCCATGCAAGAGGCAGGGACACGGAGGCAGCGCTCGGAGAAGGGACAAGGGCCACGCGTGAAGCCGTGGGGTCTGCGGCCACGTGAAGGCGCCCACGGGCTCGGGTGGCAGCGCAAGCCAACGAACATGCCAAGACTGCTGGAGCTGTAAGTACTAAGCTCTTAACTTGTTATTAAGTTTTCTAATACCGGCAACTATGGAGGTAACAGTGAAGATGAGGAGAAAGTCGTAAAGTGCTGATAGAGGGATCGCTGCTGCATGGTCAGATCACACGGGAAAAGGACCGAGCGAAGAAGGAATCAGCTCCGGAGCCCCCGCTGCACTCGGGCTCCCCAGTTCTGCCCCGCAGGAGCCCTGCAAGCAGCAAGGGCAGGTCGGGCTCCAGCTGGCGACATTCCGAGCCATGGGAATGCCGGAGTGCACGTAACTCCCCGTTACCTGGCGTGGGGAGGAGCGCTTGGGACTCCTGCGTGTGAGCAGCTTCCCAGCCCTTGGGGGGTTGTTTCTCCCCAGCTCCTGGAGCAGGGAACACGGAGCTTCCCTGGCTGCCTGTTCAGGAATGAGCGGTGGTGCCGGCAGAGCCCCCAGGCGTTCTCTGGGCCTCCAACCTGCTTTGTGGTAGAGATGAAGATCAGATGGGTGGAACAACAAGTACCACTAAACACAGCCTCATATATCAGATACTACAGACTTGATCAAGGGAGAAAAGTGACTTTTTTGCCAATTTATGAGTGCAGTTAGACACTACAGGTAAAGACCAATAACTAAGAGGTCGCTTGACACTGATTATCCATCCTGCCCTACTGCTCCGAGCTGCCAGCCTGGAGGAGAGACAAGGGATCCAGCGGGACATTTGGGCTGCCTCTCCTCCCTCACACGCACGTGAGTTTTCAGCACAAAGCACAAGCTCCTGTGACAAACATCTCTCCAGCACAGGGGGTCAGGAGACACGCAGACAGCCGGGCACTGCCCCATGGCACCCGTGTCACCCATTCCCTAAGGTGCTGCCCCTTCCCACGGGGATCCTGCCTTGACTTTAGCGTGAAAGTTATCCGGATGCACACAAACGAACACGGAGACGCTTCAAGCCACTGCAGAAAGGACGTGTCTGAGAGCCCGGGGGTCTTGCTAGCAGACCCAGCTCACATGCAACAGCAGCAGACAGGAGGACACAGCACCGGGAAGGGAAAAGGGCCTGGAGCAGGAGCTCTGTGAACGCCCAGGCAGCTCTGCAGCCCTGCACGCATGCGGAGCAGCCAGCCAGGATCCCCGCGGGGGACGGGACCGCGCTGGGAACAGCAGCGCCATCAGCTCCAGCACCGTCTCACACAGTCGCAATAAATACAGGTTATAAAAAACCCTCGTACTCCAGCTAGTCGTGTAAAATCTAAGCCGCTTTCCCCCCAGAATCAGACGAGACCTGCAAGGGGCTCTAGGGCCGACTGTGCTCCCAGCACGTGGTTGTCACAACAGCTGTACACAACAGCCGCACACAACAGCCTTCCCCGCAGCCCTGCCCTTGGGGACACGGGTCCTCGAGCAGGGCAGTGGTCACAGCACGGTCCAGTGCAGTCCAGCCCATATGGAGCAGCCCCACACGCTGCACAGAGGCCTCCCCCGGCACGGAGGGAGCGTTGCAGTCAGCTCCAGCACCGTCTCACACAATCCCAATAAATACAGGTTATAAAAAAACCCTCGTACTTCAGCTAGTCCTGTAAAATCTAAGCTGCTTTCCCCCCAGAATCAGATGAGAACAGTGCCAAAAAGTAAAACTAAGGCTGTCTTTCCTAGCAAGACTTTTTCTTGCTTAAAAGTACTACGAAAGCTGCGGTTACCACATGGCACTGGATGTGGGGGCAACCTCCAGCCCATGATGGTGGCCAACGAGATGCAGCTCCGAGGAGACTCCGGAGGGAAGCGCCGGGCACGAAACTCCCAGCACCGACAGGAACAACCTTGCAGGAGCATCACCCCGATGGCGACACGACCCTTCTGGCACAGATAGCAGTAAAGAAGCTTTGAAAGGAGGATCCTTCCTTGGTATCCAACGACCGAGCTCGGAGAGCTGCAGCTCTGCCCCGTCCAGAACATCCCAGGAACGTCACGGGAGAGGTAGTCAAGAAATTACAAAGGTTGGCGTTAAAATAAACTGGCTTGGCCAGAAGCAGCATGCAGTGACACCGAACCTGCTGCACCACAAAGCACAAGATTCAAATCCCCAACAAAAAGGCTACACGGATACATGAGGGGAGCCAGTACATTCACTCTAGGTCTCTGCTGAGCACTAGCGTCTCACCAGACTCGCTAAACCGCTGCTTCCCCACCACAAATAAACAAAATAAAGTAAAAAGGAGCCTTCCCTTCGCTCTGCTCAGCTCCCAGCTTTCCCTAAAGGCCACCCTTGACCCCCCAGGCTCGGAGGATCCCTCCCAACGTTCCCAGAGGTGGCCAAGCAAGCGGGACGTGTCCCGTTAACAAGGCACAGTGCTCGACATTCCGGGCAGCGGGAGCCTCGGCCGGCGTCGCAGAGGGGTCTCTCCACAGGCCACATTCCAGTAAAGCCAGGAAACCGGCAGCGCTTCCAGCGCAGCCTGCAGGCTTGGGAACAACCAGCTCTGGGAAGCGCCAGGGAACTCTGAAGATGCCCAAAGGGACACGACCAACGGGCACATAACTGCGCGCTGCCACCCTTCCAGGGATTTTTAGCATGCACATCAATTATCCCCCACGTGCAGTCCACACACTGGATTAAAGTCTTCACGGGGCTTTTATACTTCCCCAGTCTCTGCCATGGCTCCACAGAAGACAGCACGAGCATCCCAGGCATTTTGGGGTGCACGTTACTAAATATTGCTTCACGTGAGAGCCCCTCTCTCTCCATGCCATATCCCCCTGCAATGCTGCTGTCCAGTGCATTAGAAGTTAATAGTGTCCCTTTCAACACTTAAAACCAGAGTGGCCAATGTTTTATGTGATGGAACATCTAAGCTCTGGGCTAAGCAGAAATTAGGTCGCTTGGACATTAATTTCTACCGAGCAGAGACACTTGCTTGCAAATGCAGCAGAATTTTTGCCCCCTCCTGATATATGAGAGCTACTACAGACAGCATCAATGTCAAGCACGGATGATCTTTGTCAGAATCCAAGCGTGACGGTGGACAGCCCAGATGATACTAAATTTTGTACAAAAAGCTGGGAACATAGTCAAATCTGAGCAGAGGGTTCCCCCTCCGCTCGGGTTCCTGAATGTACTGCAGCTTCAGCAGCTCAGCCAGATACTGTACAATTTTGACATCCTCATTAGCAAGGCCCAGGTGCAGCTTCAGAAAGTTCATCCTGCGGCTCACGACAGATTCCTCGGATTCCGTCTCGCTGATGGGGAGGTGCAGGTGGTGGCAGAAGGTGAAGAGGAAGGCTTTGGAGCAGAGCTGAGCGAGGACGCTCTGCACGTGCAGGTAGTAGGTGCTGCCCCGCTTGATCTGCGTGCGGTGGTCCGCCAGCCTCGGCACCAGCGCCCCTCGGTACAGGGGCCCGCGCAGGGTCTTGCTGTCCGCGTCCAGGACGCTGACGTAGCGGCTGTAGCGGCCCAGCGCGTGCACCACGTTCGCCCCCGCGGGAGACGCCGTCCTGGAAGAGCGAGGGGAGAGACAGGTTGGAGGGAAACGGGACAGAGCGTAAACTGCACGTCCACGGCCCCGTGGAACGCGCGAAAACAAAAGCACGGGAGCCTCTGCGGGCAAATTGAGCGTGCTGTGGAAGACAGCGAGCAAATTCTCTCTTCAGTCTGACAGATTCCAGAGAAACCTTCATCTCCCAGAGCCCCAGGACCACTGATGAGAGCTGCATGTGCACTGCTTCAGCGCCGCTGAACAGAAGCTACTCTGGAAGCAGCTGGTGGCACCTGGATGCAGCTGTAAGGACACTAGAAATCTCCTTGCCACCAGCTCCTTTTACCCCCAAAATGTGTTTTGGGAGGGAGCTGCTCTGAGGCGGTCAAGGAGTGAACGCTTTGCCCTTCTATTCATAACAAATAGAATAATCCATAAACCATAATAACCTCAGGCTGAACTTAAATATATTTCACTAAGCTGCAAACCCAAAGCACGTTCACAGCACACAATTACACAAGTCTAAATGAGTGCTGTTCAGGTGCAAATTACAGGCCTAGGTGAACTCTGCCTTCTGCTCCTCAGTCCTGCCTGATTGAAGCTGCTCAGCTGGGGACACATGTCCTGCTCTCAAAACAGAGGCCCTGCCGGCCGGTGTATTAATGTATTAAGAGCTGTGCTCATGGCATTAAAGAAAAAACCCCTTTGTTCAAACAGTTTGCCACGAGAATCTACGTTAAACTTAGCGCTTAATTAACACTTCCACTGAGGAGAGCTTAAATGACTGACACATCTTACAAGCTGCTCTTAAAAAAGACTTTTGTTTATAAAAAACACATCTATCCACACACCCTGTAAACACGCAGGGCTTTTGAAAACCCACTTGAGGGAGAATTTGGGAAGCAGCTGTTGGCAGAGCTGCCAACTGCCTCACAAGCAAAGACATCAGAGTAAGTCCCAGCTTAGGGTAACTCAGTGTGTTGTTATACCGGGGGATTCAGCGACCCAGAAAGCAGGTTTCTGTGTTTTGAGTCTCACTGGGCTCACAAACACCCTCTCAGCGGCTCTGACACTGACCCTCTCATCCAGATTTTCCACTTTGGTGACAGCCACAGGCATTCCCTGTCACACCTGCGCTCGCAGCGTCACAACGCATCCTGGGAACACACAAAGAAAACTGCTTTCATAACAACACTAAGGAAGGGCCAAAGCCATAAGAGCTGAGCAATCACTATTTAAATAATATAAATTATGAAGCCACTTTTTTTTGCATTCGAGTGCAGGGGGAGGGATGTTTGTTTATTTTCAGGATGAAGTCACACGGAGCAGAGGTTCCCTCACACCTGAGCTGCAATCTCAGCCCAAGTTGCTCCTGGGACCCTCTGTCCTGACCCACTGGTGCAGGTGACAGGACACCCGTCCTGCCAGGCACAGCCACCCTCACTCCAGCACAAACCAAACTGTCACAATGGTGATGATCCATTCCCGACCTCTATGTTTCATCAACCACACGTTACCTCTTCTTAGGGCTCACGTTCACACAGCGCCCATTTGAGAAGCAAAATCCTGGCTAGGGAATTGAGTGTGCTCAGGGAGCAGGTGCAGGGAGAAGGGAAAGAAGGTGCAGGGAGCACCTGCGTTTCATACCACCCAGCCAGGCAGCAGAAGCGACTCGTTCTCCTGCTTTGCTAGCCTAAAACCTAAAACACTGGGGAATCTCCCAGCAAACTAACCTGAGTCAGACAGATGTTGCAAAAGACCTTGAAGGAAGCTGGTTACGAAGAAGCTGACAAATATACACACACACACCTACCAATTCATACTGACATCCTATAAGCAAAAATTTATGGCAGCTGCATAGGCGATTCCATAAAGAGAACTCTCCCACCTGCCTGCTCACCTCTGAAACCCTAGCTCAGGAGACTCCCTTTTTACCCCAGCCCTTTCCACAAACAGGCCAGCAGAGCCACCAGTCCACCTACAGCCTCGCTTTACCTCTGCAGCCCGATCAGCTTCCACTTCTGGAAATCCACAATGTGCAAAGGGGAAGTGACCCAGTGCTTCACGGGCTTGGCGTAGCCGCCGCAGTTGGGCACGAAGATGGAGAGGGCGGTCACCAGCTTCTTGACTATTGCTTCATCCTCCCCCAGCACGACGAGGGTCCTCCCGCTGAGCAGGGAGTATATTGCGGGGTGAGCGAAGGGATACTGCCGGATGAAGCGCAGCGCGTTCTGCCCGGCCTTTTTTTTGTGCCTTTCGCCGGCGGGAAGGGCGGGATGAGCGGGAGAAGGGGTCGGCTCGGAGCACGTGGACGCGGCGCTGCTGATGTAGCTCGTGGTGTCCGAGCACTCGTCCAGGCTGGTTTTACTCACGTCCCGGCTGCCCGCCAGGTAGCGCGGGTCGAGCTCGTAGGACAGGAGCCCTCCCGAGGCGCTGTCGGGGCAGTGGTAGCCCGCGAAGGGCCCGTGCAGGCCCTGCTCGGGCGGCCGCAGCGGCTGCGGGGGGATGCTCACCACACCGTCCTCGTCCTCGCAGGCCTTCGCGCCCAGCTCGGCCAGCGGCTCCAGGAAGCCGGGGCTCTCCTTCCCGATGCAGCAGGCGGAATCGACCTGCAGGAGGTTCTCCGGCTTTGAGCCGCCTTCCTGCTCGTCAGCGTTATCCAGGCTTAACTTGGGGCTGAAATGAAGGCCGCCCTCCTCGTCGTCTGCATAAGGTTCTTCATTAATGGCACTTGGGTAGCTCGCTTTGAAATCCTCCGGGATCAGGGACTCCGAGGGGCACGTGCTGAGAACCTCGATGCTGTCCTCGCTCACGGTCCTCCTGCTGCCCACCTTGCTCCTGCCCCCCTGGGGGCTCGGGCTGATGGGGAGGCTGGCCTGGCTCTCCGATTTCGTTAGAACCGAGGCCGACTTTTCCGTGCCGAGAACCTCAATGCTCTCCCCACTACTGATGCTCCCTTTAATATCCGCATCGAGATAGTCCAAATTGTCCTGGTGCTCAAAAGTTATGGATTCTGCCATAGTGGGATCCTGCGAGTCTTCAATTTCCTGCTCCATCTTGATAGGCACACACTCCACGCTGGACTTGTACGAGCCCAGGCTGATTACCACTTTAGGAGTGGGAAGCTCTTCCAAACACTTTCTGTTGACAGCATCTTGACTAAGTCTCTGGCAGCCTCTGTACTGCTTTTCAGGTGCTTTTTCATCCAGCAGAGATGCGTCTTCAAAGAGGAAGTTGGTCACACTTTGCTGTTTTAAAAGCGCTCTGCTGATCTGGTTGGTCAGGAGGTAGCACACGTCCCCTCGGAAAGTCCTCTCAATCTGATGCAGCTGATCCAGAGTCTGGGTGAAAAAGTAAACGTCGCAGAGCTCCTCCAGCGTCTTCAGCTTCTTGTCAAAGCATTTGGAGGACTTGGCTTTGATGAGTTTGGGGGTATAGGATGGCACGTGCGCATACGGGTGCGTTTCGCCGGGCTCGGCGAGCTCCGAGCTAGCCAGGTCCTGCTCACAGCTCCCGTCAGCCTGATCCAGCCCACACTCCGGCTCATAGGGGTGGAAATCAGAATCCTTCAGTTTCCTATAGGGATAGGACCGGATCTGCTTTAACAGATCCTGGTGCTCAATGATAGATTTTTCAACGCTGGCCAGTTCATTGGCCTTCTCGATCGCTTGGGTGGTGTAATACCCTTTGTCGTTGGATTTCTTCTGGATCTCCGTTTCGTTGTGCAGCACGGTCCTCGTGTAGTCAAGGTCTTTCAGTTTCTTTTCCAGCTCGCTGGCAAAAGCTTTCCTGTTGCCCGTCTTCAGGCACTCGGACGCTTTGGAGAACTCTGCAGAGAGCTCCTGGAACTGCTGCATGATCTTGTGCTCGTCAGCAGAGATGTAGGCCATGCAGAAGGGCCTCACGAAGCCGCGCGCTTCGAGGTCGTACAGAGTCAGGTGGTGCACGTAGGCAAAGGCCCCTTCCTTGGAGTCCCCCAGCACCACCTTGGAGTCCTCCACGAAGTTCAGCTTCGGGTAGGCGCAGCCGGGCGGGTGCCCCACGAAGGACGCCTGGTAATCCACGGACATGATCCGCAGCGAGAAATAATTGAGGTCGAAAGTGCCGGGCACCTTGGCGTCATTGGGGATGGTGAGCAAGGGCTGCGGCCCCACCTGCTCCGAGAACTCGGAGATGAGGATGAAGTCGCGGGTGAACTTGGAGCCGGCGACCTTGGACCAGGGGTTGGCGCCGGGGCCGCCGAAGGGCAGCAGCGGCACCGAGT